AGTCGGGGTAAAACCCGTAAAATTTACCCCCCCGCCAACGCAAAACGTCGGCAAAATTGTCTCAATCGTTTGTGCTCCGTTTGTGCTGTAAAAATTTTCGTTTGTGCTGCTTCGGTTTTTTAGATATTAAAAGAATATTTATAGGTCATTCTGAGGTCACTCAGCCCCCCAACATACTCCAAAATTCACCCCAAATAGTCTCGTTTGTTTGTGCTTCGTTTGTGCTGGTTTGTGCCGTAAAAAAAATCGTTTGTGCTGCTTTGGTTTTTTAGATATTAAAATATTATTTAGTGATAATTCTGAGGTCACTCAGCCCCCCACATGCTCCAAATTTACCCCAATAGTCTCGTTTGTTTGTGCTGGTATTTTTGTTTTTACTGTCATTTTTACCAATACAGTTGAAGTAATAAGTAATAAAATCAAACCAAATCACATGAAATGGTTGCAGTCACTTAATTGTTAGTAGCCATATTCGTTCAATTAGACAAATTAAACGAAAAAAAAAACTAGGCCTATTTCATTATGTCTTTACATAAAAAAAATAAAGACTTGATATACATAGGCCTATTTTCGTTTCAGCGCACAAATAAAACATGCAATAGCCTACTGTTTCCAAGTCCGTGTAGCCTATACTTTTGCATCCATTAGTTTTTCCTTTTTTAACCATGACGAAAAAAATGACAAAAGAAGGATTGTTGTATTTTTAAAAGCCATCCTGAAAACCAAATTTGAAATTAGAACCGTACACAAAATGCTGCCCGAAAAAGTTAAATATTGATTTTTTTTAATGACTTTTTGCACCTTTAATAAACAATTGAAAAATGCACAAATTAATATAGAAACATTTTTATTTTAACAGGTTTTCTTTGGCCAAATTAGAAGTAGGCTAATGCTTCTCTTGCACATTCAGTTTAGAACTATATGTCTAGATCATTGATGGGGAACTGGGCAATTAATAGTAAATATGACCAAAACAGGGTATTATTATTATTATTTGTATATGAATAATAAAATCGCTATATATGCGCATGTCAAGTATTTGTAGGAGTATTATAGTATTACTATATGATACTTTTTTTTTTCCTGCAGAAAGAACTTAGAATAGGCTACTCCATCATTTTTGGATTTGCTTTATACTGTGGAGATGGCCATCAGCGTTGACTACTCTGTTGACTAGGAAAAAATCTTTAAAAACGAGTAGCGAAAACGAAAATATTACCAGCACAAACGAAGCACAAACAAACGAGACTATTTGGGGTAGCTAATTTTGAAGCATGTGGGGGGCTGAGTGACCTCAGAATTATCACTAAATAATATTTTAATATCTAAAAAACCAAAGCAGCACAAACGATTTTTTACGGCACAAACCAGCACAAACGAAGCACAAACAATGAATATTATTTTGGGTGAATTTGGAGCATGTGGGGGGGCTGGTGACGTCATCGCATATAATTCAATGTCTAATATTTTAAAAACCGAAGCAGCACAAACAAAACTTTTACCTGCACAAACGAAGCACAAACAAACTTATTTGGGGTCAACTTTGGAGCAGTAGGGGGCTGAGTGACCTCAGAAAATGAGCAATAAATATTATTTTAATATCTTAAAAACCGAAGCAGCACAAACGAAAATTTTTACAGCACAAACGGAGCACAAACGATTCAGACTATTTTGCTGACGTTTTGCATTGGGTGGGGGGCCAACTTCACGAAGGTACCGGGGTGCCGTCTGTCGAGAGCAGGGGTACCGTGTAAAAAAATCATTTTTTAATATTTTTTAAATTGCTAAAATGTAAAAAAAAAAAAAAAAGCATATTTATAAATGCACAAAGTTCTGTTGTTATTATGTGTGTATACAAATAAAAGTAGACCCTTTACAGATTCGATTGATGTATTGCTCTTATCTGTAAGATCAAAACTGAAAGTGTAATTTAAGTTCTTTTCGGTGTTATAAGGAGAAGATGCCTCAAAACGCGTATCCGCGTTAATCGACTTCAGAGGGTTAAATAGCAACACATATATTATCTAAAGAAATTCAAGAACAGATGAGAACCAAAACGGTTGACATGTATCAGTCTGGAAAGGATTATAAAGCCATTTCTAA